CATCTTTTGGCTAGGGATATGTTTGTTGGTTTTACATCATGGTTCTGTTGGAATATATCCTGGAGCTTTTCCGGAATAGATCATCTTTCGCTTTTTGTTACTACTTAATAGACTCATTCAGGGTCTAATCTTTTATTTGGCTTCTATCAAGGCGTTTACAAGCCTCTCGATAGCGCCATCTCTAGATAATTTCTAGTGGTACGAAGTGTGCCATTGTTTTGCCGGAGTATGAAACTTGGGATTTAAGCTTTGAGAATTCGTGCTCTCATGGAGGCAGAGTCCGATAATATACTTGAGAGCATATGATGACCAAGTCGAGATATCATGATGGTGATGTTGTTTATCACCTTAAGGTGGAAAATGTTAAAATTCTCAAATCTGAAGTTTTGTTTCTCGTGATGTATAACACCTACTGGTGTTTTATTTGAAACTTTATATTCTCTTCATATCGATGTTCGGTCTTAATAAAATTGTCATTTAGTGTTATAAAAAAAACTAATATGTATTAACGAGTGGTAAGTTTCAATTTCTTATTCAAGCTAAAATTCGATATGTATACCTTCTCTTTAGATGGCTAATTTTGGAAGTTGATAAAATGAATTTGTGCCGCTATTAGCATCTCAACCGTCTTTTTTGATCTGAAACAAAATAAAAAATTCACCTACATTGGAACGTCGTTGATTGTTTTTTCTAAAGTTTGAATCAAATTGCACAAGGAGATGAAATATTTTTTTTTTTATCTTATGTACATAATTAGCTAACAATATTTTGTTATTCTTTACTATATATTTTTTATAAACTTATTATTTAAATAGTAAATTTTAGTTAAATTTGATTTTAGACTGAAATTATTGAATTTTCGTGTAGTTTAAAAACAAGAAATTAAAATAGATATGTTTTTTGTTTTTATTTGAAACATAAAATAGATATGTTTCGAAGTTTAATTTGTGTAATTTATTTATGAAAGTGAATCTGTTACATAAGGGAAAAAAACTAACTAAAAAGCGAAAATTTACTTTCTTTTTTTGGTCAGTAGAACGAATACCTACTTTGATATAAAATCGATATATTACCTCATTCTCCCAAAGGATGCTGAATATAGTACAAAGATATATTACTCCTAAAAAAATGCAAAAACATTAAATTTGAAGATAATAGAAAAAATGGAAATAAAGAAAGAGAAAAAAGGAACTTTTGTTCCCAACCTTTTTATAGGAATAGTAATTGCGGCAACAGCTTAGCTGGCTTCGGGCGGGATTACCGGGAAGTCAAACCAACCATTTAAAACGACGTCACTTTAACCCCATCTTCTAGGTTTATTAATTTAATTTCAAACTACAATAAAGAAGA